CATTGCTACTTCATAACTGTAATTTTGCTACTGTTATGAATCAGGCAACCCCTGTGAAAGGGTCGTTCGACCCCTAAAGGGGTCACGACCCACAGGTTGAGAACCACTGCTGTATTTCTTTAATGCTTCTCCCCCACCTCCCCCACTATCATGATCCCAGCACTACCTTACAAATCCGGCTAGACCAGAGCATGTACACTGGTACAGATAAGAGCTCTCAACACACAGAATCCAGGACAGACAAACCCCTCAGGAACAATAATGGAAGTAGCAATACCATGAAGATAGGGAGAGGATGGGGGAAGAAAGGGGGAACCAATTGCAATGATCAACGTATAATCCCACCCCACCTCTACCCAGGGTGATGAACAACAGAAACATGGGTGAAGGGAGATAGCGGACAGTGTAAGATATGAAAATAATAATTTATAATTTATCAAGGGTTCATGAGGGTGAGAAGGTGAGGGAGGGAGGGAAAAATGAGGAGCTGACACCAAGGGCTCAAGTAGAAAGAAAACATTTTGAAAAAGATGATGGCAACATATGTACAAATGTGCTTCACACATGGATGTATGGATTGTTAGAAGAACTGTAAGAGCCTCCAATAAAATGATAGTTAAAATGAAAGCACTGAACAATCAATTGAAAGTAAAGGATAATGGAGGAAGAAGAGTATAAAATAATCTCCAAGATTTCTGATTTTGAGAGCAATTAGTCATATATATAAACAGCCTAATGTTGAGTACCTATGTCATTATTAATGCTACTTTCCTACATATCATGTTTGGCAAACTCTACCATCCTCTACAACTGTCCAAAGCTACACTAGTTCCTGAAAGTCAACTTTTAAAATCAACTTCCTATGTGAAACTTTTTGCAATTCTGCAGTTTACATTGATTATCTTTGGCTTAGGCTTATTATCAGCAATAAGGCACTAATCCTGATGCCTCATTCTTTTTTCATATAATCCAGCTTCTCTAATGATTTTCTCAGTATACACAATGAATTAGTATGGTGAAGTGATACAACTCTGATGAACACCTTTCCTGATTTTAAACCATGAAGTAGTCCCTTGTTCTGTTCATACAATTGTGTCTTGATCCATGTAGAAGTTCTGCATGAATACATTGAAGTGTTCTGAAATTCCCATTCTTTTCAAGGCTTGCCATAGTTTGTTTTGATCCATGCAGTTGAATGTCTTGGTATAGTCAATAAAACACAAGTAAACATTTTTCTGGTATTCTCTGCTTTTATTCAAGATGCATCTGACATGAGCAATGATCTCTTGGTTCCGCGTCCTCGAGTCAGGCCTGAAACTCTGGCAGCTTCTATACTGTATGCATTATTTGATGATCTTCAGCAACATCTTCCTTTCATGTGACAATGACAGTATTATTCTATAATTTGCACATTCTATTGGGTCACCTTTATTGGATGGCTAAAAACATGGATCTTTTCCAGTCTACTGCCCAAGTAGCTGTCTTCCAAATTTCCTGGCATAGATGAATGAGTGTTTCCAGTGTTTCATCAGCTTGTTTAAATATCTTAATGGATATTCCATCAATTCCTGGAGCCTTGTTTTTTGACTGTTTTTGCTACAGCTTGAACTTCCTGAAGTTCCTGATCCAGTTCCATTGGTTCCAGATCATATGTAATCTCTTCAAACATTAAATGTCAATCAGTTCTTTTTGGGACAGTGATTCTGTGTATTCTTTTCATCTTCTTTTGATTTTTCATGAACCATATAACCTTAGGCTTTTTCGATATTGCAACTTAAGGCTTAATTTTTTTAGTCCTTTCAGTTTGTTATGCTGAGCATATTCTTCTTTTTGGTTTTCTAATTCTGTGTCTTTAAAAATTTCATTGTAATATTTTATTTTGTCTTCTAGCTCCACCCTTTTAAGTGTCATAATGGGTTGAGTTGGACTGCTAACTGCAAGGTCAGCAGGTTCAAAACCACCAGTCACTCCAAGAGAATGAGATGAGACTTTCTATTCCAATAAAGAATCAGTCTTAGAAATCTACAGGGGCACACCTACCTTATCCAATAAGGTTTCTATGAGTCAAACTGACTCAATGGCAGTGAGTTTTATAATGAACTGAACTAGAAAATATAAATCATAATTGGTAATGATTTTTACATAGTGTTATCTTGTAT